TAAAAAGAAAAAACAAGCTAAATAAATAAAATATAATAATAATAATATAATAATAGTAATACAACGTGGTTGCACTTGCATATTGACAATAAAAGCCCATTCTTTTCTGTGAAAGTTTAAACGGAAGTCGCGCTAATGACGTAGTTGTATTCCGTCACGGTCAGCGGCAGAAAGCGGAAGTAAACAAAGCAAGAGGGCGAACGACATTCTACAGAAAAAGGTAAAGAAAAACTTGTGTCTTGTCCGGTGTGTTTGAGGACATTACATTATTTTAATCACCATACATGCTGTTTATGTAACCTTTACTCTTGTGGTCTTTGTTGTTTGCTTGTCTGCGCTGCTGAGTGATATTTGACTAACTGCTGTCAACATGTTCGCTGTTCGTAGCGCTCGCTTGTCAGTGTGGAAGTGGTCGGTAAATAATTATAATAATACATTTTATTTCATAGGCGCCTGTCTGTCACCCAAGGACACCTTACAGTGAATGATTTCTCTTTATGAACTACAATTATGTTAGGGCCAAGGTGGTGTTTGACACATTTTCACAGTGAATTCTGCAGCGAGTTAAAAGAGAGGTTTACAGGAGGTTGGTGAGACCAGTCATGGTGTTTATATTGCTATGACGAAACAATAAATACTGTTGAACAGCACGAGTCCAGACTGAAGGTGTTTAAGTTGAAGATGCTGAGAATTACATGGCGAGCAACAAGAATTGATTGAATTTTTTAAATTATTCATTATTTTTATTATTATTATTATTGAAGAAACAGACACGTTTGCTTAGTAAATGTACTACGCAACGCCCCAGCTCTAACAAGGGAGAAGGTTTAGAAGGGCTGAGACAGAAGCCAAGTGATCTGGTCTGGTGACGCCTGCAAGAAGCATCCAGATGTCAAACCTAGATTTATTTCCCCTCCTATGTAATTAAAAAAATAATGGTTTGTCTGGGTTTGTTTTGTTTGTTTTTTTTACATCTGTGCTGCAGTAATAAACACAATATCAAACTTTAATTTGATATTTATATGAACTGTAAATTAAGCATTGTTAGTATCTAGTAGCAATTTCTATTTTTTTTATTTTTTTATTTTTATTTGTAATAAATGATTTTATTTAGCAAATCAGTTTATGATAAATTGGTGTATTTTTTTTATTTAAAAGTATGCGTTTCTTTATTTTTTAGGTAAATGGACCTCAATTCTGCAGGGTAACGTAACTTAAATTTAATTAAACAATTCTTCAATTCTAAAGGGTAACGTAACTTAAATTTAATTAAATATAAATGTGATTTTTTTTTTCTTTCTCTGCGTTTTTTTAGGACAGTTTTTTGTGCTCACCATGGCAACTCTTGTTTGTACAATACAAGACCATCGGGATGATGTGAACTGGTGCAGCTTCTCAACCAAACTGCTGGCCACGTGCTCCGGAGACAAAACTCTGAGAATATACAACAGCTGTGATTTCTCCGAGCTTCCTTTCTCACCGCTGTCAGGACACGGCTACAGCGTCCACTGCTGCTGCTTCAGCCCCTGTGGCCAGTTCCTGGTCTCCTGCTCCACAGATGCAACCATAGTAGTCTGGTCCATGGCCACAGGTGACATTGAGGCCATCATGGAGCATCCCGGTCGTAGTCCTGTCAGGATCTGCGACCTCTCTCCAGATTCTACTCACCTGGTCTCTGGAGCCTCAGATGGAACTTTAGCTCTTTGGAATTTTCCTTCAAAACAGCTGCGCAGGTACGGATCATAGTTTTCAGGTGTACGGCTAATACCACTTGTTTAAAATGTGTTATGTTAGCTAATAATGTGCAAAAACTATATTATATTGGGGTAAATGAGAAGTCAGTCATTGAAGAAACACAAATGTATTGTTTTTCTTTTTAGTTTATACTTCCATTAACATAATGTGAGTTTTGATTAACATGTCAATTATTAATGCAGCTAATATATATTTATCATAGTTTGAACTGAAATGATGAATTAGGAAATTAGTCTTACTGTACAAATACTGTATAAATAATAGTTTGCTCCACGTACTTGGTATCTTCCAACAGACCTTCCCAGAAACACGCTCATTAGCTAAGGCTCATGTTGATTGGACACTACATTGACTATAGATATTGACCTGAGTGTGATTATTTGTTTGGCTCTATGTGTGGCCCTGGGTTAGTGGTAGAAGATTACATTCCACATACATTAACATTTCAAACTGAGTCACCTTCAACTGTATAAATACTTAAAACTCTCAGTATTTTGAATACTATGCTGTTAAGTTTTGATAAAAAATTTTTTTAAGAATTTATAACATGCAGTATATAGTAATGGGAGTTAGCAGTAAGTTACAGTAAAAGTGAATAATAATAATAAAATCAAAGCCAATGAAAAAGTGGAACACTTTGCTCGTGTTTTTGCTCAGTGTCGGCTCGGTGGTCGACACCACCCTGGTGGCCTGTTCCTTCACTCCGTGCAGCCAGTTCTTCATGAGCGGCTCCACCTACGGAGATCTGCGTCTGTGGGACTTGAACATGAACCAGCTCCTGGCCGAGAAGGATGCCCACGACCTGGGGGTCACCTGCTGCAAGTTTGCTCCAGACATACTGGCAGGTGGGAGAGTCACACTAACACTGAAGATACCATTAGAGACCTTCGTAGTACACAATACTCAAAGTACATTTTGAGGCTTCAAAGATATCCCCAGCTACAGTACATGCTAAAACATGTTGTTCAACATATGGTGACTCTGACACATTGGTGTCATTAGTTATTATCATAAGGCAGTTGCGAATTCATCTATTTGTAATAAATAGATGAATTCAAATTCATTCATAACATATTGTTCATTAAAACATTAGCAGTATAATATTTTAATTATTAAAATATTATATTTAATTAGTATTGCTCTCAATAAAGAAATGTGAGATTGTTCCTGGTACTGGACCACAGTGAAAGATTTAAGACTTTTTAATTTAAAAAGACTGTGATAATTTCTATTTACTTTTTTTTATTTGGAAATAATCAGGAAATGTTTAAAAATACATTTTTTCAGAGTCTGATGCTAACAGAATAAAGTCTAAGAGATGTTTTATTTTGATCTAAAATATACATTGTGTAACACATTTAATTGTTGTAAAAATAAAACTGTTAAAAAAAAAGTTACTTTGTGAGTGAAGTCATCATTTTCTTTTTTTTTAGGTGACCACGTTGTGCAATTTCAGTTGGCCTCCTGTGGCCAAGACAGCAGTTTCAGTTGGCCTCCTGTGGCCAAGACACTCGGGTGAAAATCTGGACTATTCACATGCTGAGATCTGGAGGTAACTTCATAACTTCGTAACATCATTTTACTGTACAGAATAGGTCCTTAACATGGGGTTCGCAACCCCAGGAAAATATTTTTAGAAGATTAAACAATCACAATAATATTTCTCTTTGACTTTAAGCTGACAAGATCATTGATTCCAGAATTGATTTTATTGGTTAAACAAAATGAATGACACAGTTTACTCTTAGTCAAATTTTATTCTCGTGCAAACTTGGTCGTAGCTTAACCTGCTTTACATAGTTCAAACTGACTCCCTGACTCTTAGTTAGATAAAAACTAATGCTGACGTTTATACTTTTTCTTACTGTATAAACCTTTCTTTTCTGTTTGGTCTTAAGTTTCACTTTGTTTACTCTTAATATGTGACTGATCTGTGGTTGATATTTTTTTTTCCCTTCTGTGTCTCTGACAGGCTGGAAGATGCAGCTGCTGCACACGTTAACAGGACAAACTGCTCCTGTTCTGTCCTGTTCCTACTCCTCTGATGGGCAGCTGCTGGTGTCTGGGTAAAGACATGGGCTTATATATATGTCGAAAGTTGTTTGCAACAGTGTTTTTTCAAAGCACTGTTTTTTTTACTGCTCTTCAGTCAGCTTTAGAGTTCTGTTCAGTGTATGATTCAAATCTACTTAGCTTGTATTTTCTAATAAGGGGTTTATAGAACAAATGTATAAATAATGTGGTTCAATCAGGGATAAATGATGAGACTGTGTCTCCTGTAAGTCACTACGATCGGAGCTCCTGCACAGAAACTCAGTTTTACTGCCGATATCAAACTTATACATTACTGCATTAAAAAAAACCTTAACAAACAAAGTGGGGTACATTAAAAAATCACTTCAGTTGTCCCCTTTAAAAGTCCCCTGACATTGCTGTAGTATATAATAGTTCTATATGTAAACACCAAGTGTTTTCAATTACGTTTAAGAGATATACAAGTTGCTTTGACGTAAAATACGGACTGCAGTACTCAGGTAGAACCACCAGAGGGAGACAAAGACTGCTCAGTGATTGTAGACGTGAGATCATTCTGTTATTCAATTCAGTTAATGAAGTATCTCCTGATGTCTAACGGTGTGATCCTTTAATCCAGGTCTGTGGACAAAACCGTGACGGTCTATGACGCAGTGAGTAAACCTGTCTCCTCACTGGACTGATCTCCTGTAACTTCACAAAGAATTGTATTTCTGCTCATCACATCATTTTGGTTCCTTTAAACTTTGTCTGTTTGCAGAAAAACGCAGTTTTACTTTACACCCTGAGGCAGCATAAGCGGTGAGTGTGTGTTTTTCAACACGTGTTAGTAAATATGTATATTTCTACATTTCTTTTGAGTGGAAATATTTAACTATAACACTGTGGTCAATTTCAAATCTGAATCCTATTTTGAGACCTAGTGAGTTCCTGTGTTGGAGTAAAGATAGAATATTAATAAAGAAGGTATTTAATTAGTCCCGAACTAACCCAATGGAAAGAAGAATATTTTAGTGAAGTGAACACAGGGGACCTGGATGGATGGATGATAGAAGGATGATTGATGGAAGGTAGATAAACGGACTGCTGACAGAAAAATTGATATTTGGCTGAATGGAGGGATGATACATGGAAAGATGGGCACATATGGATGTATAAATAGATGGATGGATGGATGGATGGATGGATAGATAGATGGATAGACAGATAGATAGATAGATAGACGGATAGATAGATGGATAGACAGATAGATAGATAGATAGATAGATCGATGGATAGATAGATAGGTAGATAGATAGATGGATGGATGGATAGATAGCTAGATAGATAGATAGATGGATAGGTAGATAGATAGATGGATAGGTAGATAGATAGATGGATGGATAGATAGCTAGATAGATAGATAGATGGAAAGATAGATGGATAGATAGTTGGATAGATAGATAGATAGACGGATAGATAGATGGATAGGTAGATAGATAGATGGATGGATGGATGGATAGATAGCTAGATAGATAGATAGATAGATCGATGGATAGATAGATAGATGGATGGATAGATGGATGGATGGATGGATAGATAGCTAGATAGATAGATAGATAGATCGATGGATAGATAGATAGACGGATAGATAGATGGATAGATAGATGGATAGATAGACCGAATGAATAGACTGATGAACAGTAGGATGTAGGATAGGTGGATGTTTTTCTAGCTGCCATTTTGGAATGTTTTTTTTTTTAATCTACACAGAGAAATGACAGCCACTCCTGTCCTCTCTCTCCTCAGGTATGTCACAGCCTGCACCTTCTCTCCTTCTTCACCGCTGATAGCCACAGGATCTATGGATAAAACAGTGAACATCTGGAGGCTGGAGGATGGATGTAGCAGCAGTTGTGGTGAGAAACACACACGGACAGACAGACACACACACATCTTAATTTCTTGACTAAGCTCACATTATCTTTTTGTCTCCTCCTCCTTCTGTGAACCTGAGGTTCAACAAAAGGAGACAAATCCCTGACAGGTGAGATTCATACTTTCAACCTATTAAAGTTCTAAAGTAAAAAGATGCTTTGATCATTAGATTTTAACCTGTTTGTAGTACATAGTGGTGTTTATTCTCTAGTAGTTTTGATGTCAGTGTGAAGGACACAGGTTCCTCTTCCCATTTTAGAAACTGCAGGTTTTTTCCAAAATGCCCCCACCTGTGTTGAAATGACTTTTTCCTCTTGTGTTTTTCAGAGGAGCCCGCTGTGACATCAAGTAAAGGTAAGAAGTGGGAAAAACAATGGTGTGTGCAGTGTGTAAATCTGGAGCTGTTATTCCCAGAGACTGGATCCAGAGACACAACTGGGTGTTAATACAGTCACTCATTTGTTTGGACAGAGTTTGACTTAAGATTTAAAAAAACGGTGGAGTCCTGATCCCCGTGATGCCTCCCAGAATGGCACACTGTGGGTGTTTTATTTAAATGTAATACAAATGTATTTGTAATTCAAACCATAGATATATCAGTGTGTTATAGACTCATGTCTATCTGTATCTAGAGCTGTTTTTTTTCATCATTTATTGGGAACATGTAGAGTGATTGAATATGGTGTTCTTGAAGTCTTGTTGTCAGTTTAAGTCCCAGATTTTACCCACATCGTTTGACAACTTTAAAAAGTAGAGCTGCATCGTTCAGTAACCTGAGAACATCGTATACCAAAATCTTTTTTTTGACTTTTAACTGACAATGTTCTGTTTATTTTTTCCCTGTTGAGATGAAGCATTTAAATTTTTTTCATTAAAAAAAAATCATTGGTTTGTTAATAATAATAATGTATTTTAATAAATAATTAAATTATTATTATAATAATTATTATAGTTTATTTTTATATATATTTTAATTATTTTATTTTTATTTTATACATATAAAATATAGAATATATATTATATATAAAAAATAAAAAAAATAAGTTTAAATTAAATTATAAAATTTATAATTTTTTTTATAATAAATAATGACAAAGTTATAAAATAAATCTTTATTTTAATGGATTTGCAAACCACCTAACAATTCATTAATCTCATTAAATGCCCATGAAGGTCATTATCAATTGCACTAAACGTGTGACTGAGAGAAGATTCCGCGCACACACTGTGTATAAATATAGATTCTGACATCATCAGGAAACGTCTTGTGTTTCTGACTGCGGCATAGACGTGTCCATGACAAAGTCGGTGACACCTCCACACCACCGTGATGCAGTCACAGAGTTGC